TGCTCCATTCCCCCTAGTCCTATTGCTCCCTGACATCCTAAAAAGTTCCTCACCAGCTTTCCCCAACTTAGATGTTTTTGTAGTGTTTTCCAACACAGTTTTCAGAGTTGGGGAGAAAGCAATGGAAGCAGCTTCCAAATAACGATGGAAGCAGCTCCCGTGTGGAGAGGGTTTCAGCCAGTGTTGGCTTGAACACCCTGGAACACTGTGTTCCAGTGAACCTGGACACCCAGAACGAGAACTGCACCATGAAAATGCAAAACATTCTATAGCTCGAGCATTGTTACTAGCTTTAAAAAAATCATATTCTTCATGGGCATCAGGCAGTTGTGGCCTGTCTCCCAGAGTGGGGAAATGCTGCCTGTGGGTGTCAGAAGGAGCAAATCTGTACTTTCCTTCTGTTGGTCGTCTTGGAAAATACACTAACCATTTAAAAGGTGAAGAAAGTGAACCACAGTGTTCTTGGTGAAAATGAAGCATCACTCAGATTTAGGAAACTTTGTCATAAGCATTTTATTTGACATCAACATGTATAGAGAATGTTTTCTCTTTTTTTTCAACAGCTAAAGGCAAGGAAGTGTTTGTTTTCCCATTTTGTTTCTGGTAGAGAAAAAAAACAAAAAGTAAAATTCAAGATTCACCAGATACATGTATTTTAAAAAGTTACATGTTTGTGGGGAATGTCTCGAGTGGAAACAAGCTATGGAGACAACACACCAAGCACCCGAGTCGTTGTGGGGACGGGGACGCTGCTTTCCCAGGGGAAATCTCGCACTGAAAATCTTTGGCAGTACTAGAATTTCTTCTGATAAACTGAAATTGTCAGTGAAAACAGATCTGGGCTGGATTCTGTGGCCTCCTCCATGATTCTATCAATTCAAAAGTCTTGAGATTTTTTTAATAATACCAGAACTTTTTTTTTATGAGATCTGTGAACCTGGATTTCACATAAAGCAGTTTTTGATTCAGTAGAAAATGAAAGACTTTCTTTTCTTATTAACAATACACTCTTCACTTAATATCTAGATTTTCCATAGTTGCAGGTTTAGGGGGTAGATTTATTTTTTTTTTCCATGAGCTCTCTTCTCTGTTGTTAAATATCTGGGGAGAGTCACCTCATTATTTCTCTCCTATGTGACCTTGACAAGAAAACAAAAATCTCATCACCTTGTAGGAAATGACAAAACAGGTTGACTCAGTAAGTTTTGTGGTACAGCTGCGAATATGGCACCAGACACTGGAAGGTCCTAGGGCTTGTACTCCCATCAAGACTGATCTCATGTCCTCTCACTAATATCAGGTTTGCTGGTTCTGTGAAAAGACAGGTATTTGCACAGCTGAAATACTGAGAAATAGTCTCAGCTCTAGGAAAGGCAGGAGGGAAAAACTATTTACAGCTCCAAGGTGATTTCAGCTTCCCCTTCCCCTAGCAGTACAGTTTTGTTTTCTGCAAGGTTTCAACTGTTGTAGCCAGAACTTTGTGCACTTGATCGTTTGATCCAAACGTCGGGCATGTCTGGTTGGCTGTTTGGTAGCACAACTGGACCTTCACTCCCTAATCCAAATCGATTTTTCCATGAAGAGCTGTTCTGCTGGGAGGCTGCTGGAGAAATATCAAAGACGGTCTCCCTCAGGTCCAGCCGCAGGGTATCTCTCTTCCCATTCAAGTAACCTCTCTCTGCCTGACTGTACGAATCAGACAGCTCTAAGACATCGGGGCAAGAACTGGCAGATTCAGCAAGCTTTAGGCCTTGCTCAAAATCACTAATCGACGTCTCACTGGAGATGTTGAGCATGTCAAAAGAGCTGCCAAGAGAACAAAGGCATCTGTGAATCTTGTAGATGTCAGCAGCGGGGAGATGGCTGTTGTCTGAGGTATAATCCGACTGCTGCTGGGCAGTGTCACTAGAGCACTGTGATTTATTGGGCTGCCCTTCTTCTTTCATGCCAGCTGGCTGGATGTGGTCCGGCCCAGTCTCCTCCCAAGCTTTCAGACCGTACTTTTGACATCGGCAGTCTCGGCAGAGTCTCTCCCTGTGAATTTCTGCTTCTGAGCTGCTGTGCTTGTATGGAGAGGAAGTCTGCAGGGCAGGACACTGGCATAGGCCAACCTGCTGGTCTCCAAGGGTCTCCTGCAGGTTCTGTCTTTCTCTTTCGAGGGAGGGGTGCATTCCTGTCCTGGGGCATCTGTTGTCTTCAACTTGTGTGTCTTCAGAGAGCCGGTTGGACAGCTTGCTTGTGGAAGTGCTGTTGTCAAAGCTGTCGCTCAGTTTCCTGGACAAGGGCTGGAGCTCATACTGCTCGTTGGCCGTGTTGGACTCCTGGACCTTCCGCAACCGGTTTTGCTTCTCACTCCCTCCACAGGCAAAGTTTCCATTCAGCCCAGAGTCATCAGAATAGTCTTTCATGGTGTGGGCACAAGGCCAAAGGATCTGCCCGCAGTTCTTCTCTGGGCCGAAGAAGCAGCACAGAGACTGGAAGAAGAAGCTGGCAAACCCGCAGCTGATGCACTTGATCATCATGATGAATATCCCCAACTTCCTGTACGCCAGGACCGTCGCAGGCAGCATGATGACCCCTGCAGAGAAGAGGGCAGAAGATGCCATGGCTGTGGCACAGCTCATCTGCTTCAGGGAAAAGGCCACGCGGCTCAGGCGGTCAGAGTGGGGGCACAGGTGGTAGGAGATGCAGTAGTTGACTGTAAAGTCCACAGAGAGACCTACTGCAGCTGAAATGAAGAGAGACTCCACTGCATTGAGTTGCCACTCCAAGAGGACCAGAAGGCCAACTGTTACCAGGACGGTGCCTGCGATGGCAGTAACGGAGAAAACGCTCAGGAGGACGTTCCAGGTAGTGAGCAGCAGCACCACAAAGGAAATGGCTATGGAGAGCCCCATGACCACCATGGTTTCTGTGCTGAGACTGTGCTGGAGGTTGTATAGCTCTAGTTTACTGGTAAACCACCCATTCTGAAGCCCCACCGGGGCAGTTTTCATTTCCTCTGTTACCCAGAGGTTGATTTCCTCGTAGAATTGTTTGGCTTTGCTGTAGTTGAAGCTGTAGTGATAAATTGTTTGGAACTGCAGCACTAAGGCAGCGAGATTTCCCTCCTTGTCAAACCTGAGGCCCAGGTCATACATTTCTGCCCCTTCCCTGCCCTGTTCCAGGAGCATCATTTTGATGCAGTGTAGGAAGACCTCACTTCTGTAAGGGAAAGATAACTGGTTGCAGCAAAGGTTGAAGCTGTGGTCTCGCTGGGAGCACTGGCGACTCTCCATCCACCTGAGGAACTCCTCCATGAAGCACACAGTAGATTTCTGCTCTGCATCAGGGTAGTAGAAAGTTTTGTTCTTCACTTTTTGGCAGAATTCAAGGAGCCACTTCTGGGCATCAGGGTTTTGGATTGCGAAGGTGACGTCCGTCACCAGGGTGCCGTTGCTTTTGGGGTTGAAGTGGTCCCCATTGTCCACAGGCAGAATGCCCCAGACCATTGTGACGGGCATGCGCTGCCCTTCTCCGTGCTCCAGCCTCTCGAACATGAACTGGTGGCAATACTCAGAGTCGTACCTCTCGAAGGGGTGGCTCAGTCGGAACACCTGGACAGACGACGTCTCCAGAGTCGGGAGTTTGAGCTTGGGGTTGGAGCAGGAAATGTAGGCACCTCCTATGGCTAAGGCAGCGAACCAGCAGATCCAGATGTACCGAAACTTGATGACCCCACAAGGCAGAAGCTTTTCAAAGAGCAGCTTGGAGGTTTCAGAGAGCGTGTTCTGGAGACCCCTGAGAACGTAATGGAGGGAGAGAGTGGCTCTCTTGTGGCCGGTGTTGTTCCAGTAGTCGTCTGGCTTGTAAATGCAGGTCGTGGCCATGTAGCGCTCGTACAGCACAGCCGAAGCAGGAAGCCAGGTCATGGTGAACACCAGGTTCACCAGCACGGCGGTGCCCATGTAGATGGCGAAGCAGCGGATGGCTGTGATGTTGCTGATGTAGCTGGCGTAGAAGGCAGCACCCGTCGTGAGGCAAGACGCCAGCGTGAGATACACAAAGTGGTGCATGGTTTGACTCACCCACTGGGAAAGCCCGGCGGAAGGGTGCTGGCTCTTGCTGAGGTTCCAGAGGTCGAAGAAGACAAAGGTGTGGTTGGCACAGATGCTGCTGAGAATGACGACTGCGGTCAGGTTTACAAAAGGGAAGTAGGTGAATTTGAAGGCCACCTTGTACAAGAAGTAGGAGATCATCAAAGAGCTGGCAACGGCGAGCAGGACCATCAAGGTAATAAAGACTGAGCGTAAATAAAAAGAAATGCTTAGAAAAATAGCTAATATTGCCAGGACTGGATACTTAGTATCCAGTAAAAGATAGTGCTGGAATAGTTTCTGTTTAAGGCCCAGGTCCATTCCAGTGATAGATGTGTAGTTATCAAACAGATCCCAAGACTCAAGGTTGTCCAGGTAGATCCCCATCATAGACGCGCCTTTCCTGGTAGGCAGAAACAGCAGGCTGTACTTGAGAGAGGGCACTTGGTACTCCATCGTCTGGGGGCTGAGGAAGTCTCTGTCGACCAAGAAGTGAAGCAGCTGGTAGATGGCATTAAAGCGGGTGCATTTTTCCGGGAGCTGGGCGCACTGGGAGTGTTTCTGTCTTGCAGCCTCAGGGCCTATGCAGGACGGAGTGAGGATTCCTCTGTGGTAGTCTGGAGCACAGGCACGAAGGAGAGCCAGGGTGTGGGAGATGTCTCCTTGGGTTATCTCCAGACACGAAGACCTGTTGTATAGGACAGCGATGTAGTTCCCCAGAGACCAGCTTGGGCAGCATTCGTTGGCTTCAGTACGTTGGCAGAGGTCTCTGAAATGGACGTGTGAGCGTATCTGAAAAACAGAGGAGGGAGTGTCATGCCAGACCCTCTCTGCATGCTTCATCTCCCAGCCCCACAGTGCTCCCTGCTCCTCGCAGTAACCCTCCCACCCCGTGACAAACACCAGTGCTCCTCAGACAGGCCAGACCTGCACAGAATTAAACCCCTCTGTTATTTATAACCTCCAATTCAAACATTTGGATGCTGTGGCCAACACAGCTAATCCAATTAAACTTCCCACTTGCAAAACTTGCTGCCACAGTCTCCCAGATGAGACATTACTCCATTTCAGTAATTAAGTTCCTTGGCCCAAAATTCTCAATACCTTCTGATGGACACCTTTGGCTTCTGGACCGAGCCAGTTCAGTGTCCATCTCTTTGTGTTTAAAGGCAGCTGCTGCTTTGCAGCAGGTCCCCAGGGACGGGTGGAATCACCTGTGTGTTGCTGAGTAGGTAAAATGCTTTTGGAGTCCTCTAGGCTGAAACCTGTTCTGTAACTTGTGTTATTTTTGCCTGGCTTCCTTTCAGACAGAGATTAGAGAATCTGGCAGTCAGAAAAGAGACAGTGTGTATATATGTTCTGCCTGACATTACTAACCTTGTCTTGTTCAATTTGACACATGGACTGAATAGCTTGCAAGTTCCATAAGCTCCCGGCAGTTGTGGACATAAATACCAGCTGGGAATAGCTCTTTTCTGAAATAAAGGAGAAGAAAAATAATTTTCTTAAAAAAGGATTAGGTGATGGAGATGAATCAGCCAGGCTGTTTGGAGTAGACCCTCTGTGCCTAGAAAAAATATTTTTTATATATAAATATATATATAT